CCCCAGTGAGAGACTTGTCCTGCCCCTCACTTAGGAACACTGAGGCAAAGAACTCGTTGAGGAGTTCAGCCTTGTCCCCCCCTGTCCGTCACCAATTGTTTCTGCCCATTTAGCAGGGGTCCTATTCCTCCCTGGGCCTTCCTTTTACTCCCTATATATCTAAAGAACAATTTCTTGTTGTACTTGGTGGCTGCCTACAAACTCGTTAGGGGAGATCAGCAGCAAATAGGAAGGGTCCTATTCCCCCCAGCAGCACCTGGGGTGACGAGGAACAATGGCCAGAAGCTGCTGGAGAATAGGTTCAGGTTAGAGATTAGGAGGCACTATTTCACGGGTGGCTAGGATCTGGAACCAACTTCCTAGGGAAGTAGTCCTTGCTCCTACCTTAGGTAAATTCAAAAAGAAGTTGGACAAACACCTGTCTGGGGTCATGTGATACCAGTGTGTGCTCCTGCCAGTGGTGAGGGGTCAGACTAAATGATCTGTTCAGGTCCCTTCTGACCCAAACTACTATGAAACTAGTAACAAATGCTTTGGAAGCAGAACAGATTACAGTCATCTCAACTGAGTTGCAGTTGAGATGACAATGACTAGAAGCAGGCAGAGGAGCACTGATTTAATCTAATTTTGATTAGTTTGCAGATTTCCCCTTCAGATCCTGTCTAAATTCAAAATACCATCTTCTCTGCACTGGTGAGCTTTCTGTGAAAATAGCTCCTTTCAAGCTTAAATAATTGTATATGTTTGATGTCTCACCTAATGGAAATGTTCAAGAATGGAGAGTTTGATTTTGAGGGCAGATCTCATTGGCTCTTTTCACCCCAGGTTTTAGTATATGAGAAAACAAACAAACCAATCCTTATTTAGTCACACTTGCATGTCAATTAAACAAGGCTGTGCTTACTCCTTGGAAGATCTGTACAGAATGGTCACAGACGTTTGGGTACCAGTCTATGATTCCAGTTAAGTGCAAGCTCCTTTTGCTGCTCTGGATACATTTCTCCATATTACAAGAGTACTACATTGAGTTCATATTAAAAACAGAATTTTACTTTGATAAGAGAATGATGAAAAGACCCAAACTGATCAGTGGTGAGATTTTAAATCACACAATTGTCAGGAAATTCAGCGTTAACTCTCCCCCTACTGCCCGTCTGCATCAATCTTACCCTGTCCCCTCATACAAGTGTATGACAATAAGCTCTTTCATGATCACATGAGACTGGGCAGGGGGACACACTTTTCAGCAGACCTAGTACAATGAAATGAAATTGTACTTTTTTCTATAGTCTTACATGCGCATGTTGCTTTTCATATTACTGCATACATCACATGTTCAAGAAATAAATGAAAGACCCTATTGTACTATACACACCAAAAGGAGGCAACTTAACCATGGAGTGGGGTCATTAATGCAGTTCCCTAAACCTTTTGGAGGGAATGTCTCACAACATTGTTTAATATAGAGGGAGAATTAATTTATATCCAAACCCCCATCATTTTATGGATAAACTACTGACATACATATCCCCAATTCTACCCTACCTGGGCAGGACACTATAATAAAGAGATTTCCTCCAGTTACAGTAACACAATAAAATTGAATTGAAAGGGAGATCCTGATGTTTACTAAGGACAAATCTGCATTTGCTATCACTTGAGGAAGTCAAGACTTCCTCAAATTTTGCAACTGAGGGATGCATTATCATCTTACAAGGACCTCTCAGAGCCACAGCTACTCATGTATATTTCTTGCAAATGGAGAGATAAGAAAAAGTATTAACCTGAATCTTCACTGGTAGTTTAATGAATGGCAATTGCATTCATCAGAGCCTACAGCTGAACAACTTTGAATATAGTTGTCTAGAAAGTATAGAGAAATAGCAGGCAGAGGCCACATTTTAGGAGTGTATACTACATGCTGGTTTAAGGGATACAATTCTCAACTTCATGATTTGGAGAGTGGTAGGTGAAACTGTGCTCCTGTCAACAATAGCCCTGTAAAGCCCTGTGTCCTGAGCTGAGAACAAAGCCTCAAATGACTTTTCTATTACATGTATGTGTTACATAATTCAGGTTCCAACAGACTGGGAGGTGCCTATTTCTTTTTCTGTGCAAGGATAGTTATTCTGTCTCAGAAAGAAATCTTGGTTTTGTTACAGGCCTTGGTAAAGGCAATGTAATAGGGAGTACCCAATGAATACAAAAACTAGAGTTGTACTACTGACTTTTATATTTTGCTGATCTTCAGATTCAGTCAGCTGCAGAGAATCTAGTCACTAGAATGGATTGCTGTCTTGGAGCCACTGAATGACAAAAGCAAAGGATGGCACACACAGAATTTAACATTTTTATTAAAAATTGTACCAATTATTAGAAAAAAATGACATGTATTAAAAAGCACCAGAGAGAAAGCGCAAAGCAAATATACTGCACAGATATAAAACGTGGAGTCCCAGTCACCATCAGTACACAGAGGAGTCCTGGAGGCACACAACCAGTATAAACAAAATGCTACATTCTCACTGGGTCTCAGTCCATGGCAAAGGAGGTTGTGTACACTTCAGGACCAGTTCAGGTAGGCATCTCACAGGACAGCATTGGTTGCACTTCTTCAGCTGGGAGAGCATATAATGCTCTCCATGAACAGTAAATAACATTTTAATAATACACCAAGAACCTCTATCCCCACTCCTCCTTGACCCTGAACTTTGTTGCTTTTCCGAGGCAACTGAGGATGCTAAAAAGCTTTAAAAGTTCATGTGTCCTATAAACATAAAGAAGTCCAGGGTGGGGGATGATTCCACATTCAAGATATTCTCATCTATGGATCCAAACCCAGAAATGCGGAGGACACCTGCGTACATTTCTGATACTACAGAAGGAAAAGGAAGAGGATTTGGGAGTGGGAGGAGGGGGAAAGATATATATGATTAAGTTGTATTTGGTTTTTAAAAATAGCCTAACTTTAGGCATCTAAAGTTCATATTTAGTATCAGGATTTTCAGGTATACCTAAGAGGTTGATATTCAAATCCCTTAGGCTCTTCTAAAAATTCCCCCTTAGAAGCCTAACTTTGGCACCTATTTATTAAGGTCTTTGCCATACTTTCTTATATCATGTGATTATAACAAAGAGTGGTTATATAGCCTTTCTAACCTCAATTTTTCCTTACATAGCTGTCTGACCAAAACTAGAATTGCCTTCTGAATGGTGCAGAGTTGGCTCCCACAAGCTGAGTCGTCTGTGGTGAGGCTCTCCCAGGGCTGAGTCCACAAGTTTAGGGAGACTCCACTAGGTTTAAGGATAACTTTATACATGCAAATTTGTCATAATAGATTTTAAAGTTTAAAGATATACCCCTCCCACCCCACCCCTCCATTTCCCAAAGGCAGCAAATAGTCTGAAGACAGAACTGAAAAAATGGCTTTAAAAGAAAAACCACAGACATAAGTTTCGCTTCCCTGAAGCCAACTTCCAGCATGGTATTCATAGGAACTGACCCTTTGTTCTGTGGGAAGAGGGGTCGTTGGGGTGGGGAGAGTGGAAGGCATGGAGGAGAGAAGGGATGTCAGGCTGCACATCATTTAAGAACATACACATACAATTATGATCCAGTGCATTTGATGTGTTTGGTCTTTTCTGCTTTTCCTTATGGGTAAAAACTGAGCTGTGTACCACCAGGATGGACATGTACAAACCAAAGAAACAGTGACAACAAGAGCTCTTTAGCAACCGTAAAAAAATCACTGAACAATCTTTTACCAATTCCTTGAGGTATTTCTTTTTCTTTTTTTTGCTAAAACAGTCAAAAGAAACACATGAGCATTTTTTAAACAACCACAAAAACTTTTTAAAACAATATTCTTTGGAATGATATAAAAAGCTTTTCCATCAACTTATTTTAGTACGCTACAGCGTTTGGCTCCCATACAGAAGTCCCACTGATGTAAACGGGCATATGATCCTTGGTTCAGAATCCCCAAAACAGCCTGGCAAGGTTGGTAATAGTAATGTGTAAACTAAGGTAAGCCCTCCAAAGTTGTGTAATGTCTCTAGCTTCCAAAGTACCTGCAGAGTCCACTCCAAGGACTTCCCTTGGTTCAGAATGGGGCTCTAAAAAGGTACCAGCTATTTTACTATTTGTACAGTCTCACTAGAGAGCATTATAGATGCTGCTGAAGATCAGCAGAGGTAAGGATTAAAGTGACATTGCAGAATTTGTACACTACAGATTGCAGCAAATGCCTGAAGTCTCTATTTTACCTCCTCCTACTTAATCAGAACTTAGAACTTCCAAAGGGAAAGGCAAAAAAATCCCTGAGCCAAATACATCCCTGGCATAACTTCACTTATTGTAACAGAATTACACTGGGCGCATCTACACATGCAATTAATGCAAAGCAATAAACTCTGGAGCTTATTGCTCCCAGGCGTATTGTTTGAATGTGTGCCCAGGACCACAGCACGTTGAACTGGGCTGGAGGAGCCCGGTTGGCAGAGGGCCCCAGGAGCAGCCTGCCAGCTTGGGGCTGCTCCCCTCGCTTGGCTCAATGTGCTGTGAAGGGGCTGGCTGGTGCATGAGGGTGCTCCAGTGCGGGGCCAATAGGCAGGTAGCCCCTGCACTGAAGCATCTTCATGTCCCAGCCAGCTGGGGCAGCATCTACAAGTGCGCTGTTACAGAGTAAAAAACTCTCCAGCAGGACAGTAGTAGATACAAGTACTATCCTGCTGCAGAGTTAATTTACTCCAGCCTAATAGGGGAGGATGTACAGACGCATGATGTTTACTGTGGAGCTAATTAGTCTACTCCACAGTAAACGTCTTCTGTGGACACAGCCACTGAAGCTGAAATGGCATCATGGGGGTCTAAGACTAGTCACATCTCAGACATCATTTATTCAAGCTTTGTTTGAAGCTTGAAGGAGCAAAGGCTATTAGTTCTTCCCAGAAGCCAGTCAGAAGAAAAAAAAGTGTTCACTAGTGTCCTGGTTCTATCACAGAGGATTGGTTTGCTTTCCCCCTACCACCTTCTTGATACAAAGCTTAAGAAAAGGCTCACAAGAATGGTTCACTCAAGAGCCTGCCTCCCAACAAGAGTTCAGACATCAAGAACACTGACAAGTACTTACTGCTAGCAGGCTGCTTGAATTGTCCGAAAATGACAGACAGACTTGATACAAAAGGAAAATAGATTCCAAAGAAATAACGACAAACAAATAGAACAGTAACAGTTAATACACACAGTAAGTTATGCAGAAGTCCATACCTAGCAGAGACCATCAGTACCTTGAGAGAAGTCTGCAGCCCACATATTACCAGTGGCCACTTCATCTCTCAGAAATCTGTTGCATCCTCTACCTGCACATTGTCCTAGTCATGGCAGTTTGCAGCTACTTTTGGATAGTCACTTTATGATTACTGGCTCAGGTTTCAAGAACTGCAGGAAACAAAGTAGGGGATACTTAGTTTTACTAGCACCAGGCTTACTGGATCCAGAGAAGGTTTGGGCAATATAGATACTTGAAAGAGCAGAAGGACACAAATTAACATTTACCTAGAACTCTTCCCCTCAAATCAAGAAAATTAGGGTCTGAAAACATTTTGGTAATCCTGAGAGGGGAAATGGACTTCAACACTACTGGTGCCATCAGTTTAAGCTCAATATACCCCAAGAGTTTCTCATTTAAATAAGAATTAGCTTACGAGAAAGAGAAACCTGCCAACTTCTTAGGAACACTTTAGCCCACATTGAGTGTATAGAAAGTGACTAAACATTGAAATCCCACCAGGTCACCAAGGCAAACCAGCATGTAGCCATCCAAGAGCGTCTCATCCCCTTGTTAACTAAAAATGCTTCTCAAACCAATCTACACATTTCTAAAGGTGGCCAAATGTAATAAAGATGCTGAGATGAGCATGCCTTTTGAAGTACATGCTAAACCATCCCTATTTAGGCACAACAGGCAACAACTATTGCACAAATGAGGTGTCTGCTGCTAACCTGTATAGGAGGAGATCTACACTGCAGGATGAAGGGAGAGGATGAAGGAGGAATCCACTATTTTTAAGACAGAGTGAGATGTTAAGTAGCAAGCAGCTCATGTTCTCTATGAGGTCAATAGCAAACTCTACCCCCCAGCCAGAAAAGAAAACTCTTGATTTGACTTAATTTTTTTAACCTCCAATATATGCAAACATGGGAGGTTCTTTAAAAAGAGCATCAGTGGTTGTCACGTTTCTAGCTTTCAGCAGCACCACAAGTATTGCAGGAAGTCAGACCTTGTCTAGAGGAAGTCCAGCATCTGCATTCAAGTGGTATATTTCACCCTTCACTGAAAACACAGAACCAAAGGATTCTAACTTAAGACACTGAGATGTGCAGCTTGATAAATGTATTGTTAGCAGTGGGCATCATGGCCAGGGAGCTCCATCTCTTCCCGAGCCAAACACTTCTCTGTAGGCAGCCCGAGTACAAAGCTTCTTAAGTCAGGGGTCCACAACCTAAGGCCTGTGGCCTAGATCTGGCCCATAAAGATTGGATCCTGCCCACAAAGATCTGTTCCAGCCTATATTTTTTTAACCATATACTTGTTCCCTGCTGCCCTTCCAGATTACCACTTTATGTGCAGAGAGAGTTGCTCTCTAGCCCCCCTAATGCAGGCTGTGCTTACTGTTGCTGCCAAATTAGCTGCTCCAGGTTGTCCTTCACCATGGTTTTCAGAAGCACATTTTTAGTTGGGGTCATATTAGGGGAGTCAGAGAACAGCCCTCCACATAAAGCAGCCAGGGGATCAGTGGCCTGCAGTAGCGGTTGGGTTGCTGATGACACTAAGATGTGGGGTGAGGTGGACACACTTGAAGGGAGAGAGAGGCTGCAACTAGATTTAGACAGACTACAAAAGTGGGAAGACAAGAATAGGATGGGGTTCAACATAGATAAATGCAGGGTGCTGCACCTTGGGAGAATGAACCAACAGCATACATACAGTTTGGAGGCATTATGGACTCCAAGATGAACATAAGCCGCCAATGCCAGACTGCAGCCAGCAAGGCCAGTCATACCTTGTCATGCATCCAAAGGTGCATCTCAAGCCAGTCCAGAGAGGTGATACTCCCCCGCTATGCGACTGTGGTCAGACCACATTTGGAGTACTGCGTCCAGTACTGGGCGCCGCACTTCAAAAGGGAGGTGGCCAGCCTGGAGAGGGTTCAGAGGAGGGCCACCCACTTGGCGAGAGGGCAGCAGGACAGGCCCTATGAGGAGAGACTGAGGGACATGAACCTGTTCAGCCTCAGCAAGAGAAGGCCGAGGGGGGACCTGGTGGCTGCCTACAAGCTCATCAGGGGGGGATCAACAGCAAATAGGTAGAGCCCTTTTCTCCCCAGCACCACCTGGGGTGACAAGGAACAATGGTAATAAGCTGATGGAGAACAGGTTTAGGTTAGAGATCAGAAGGCAAAATTTTACAGTTAGGGTGGCCAAAATCTGGAACCAACTTCCCAGGGAAGTGGTCCTCGCCCCTACCGTAGGCAAATTCAAGAGGATGTTGGATGATCACCTGTCTGGGGTCTTGTGAACCCAGCATTCACTCCTGCCTGTGGCAGGGGGTCAGGCTAGATGATCTGTTCAGGTTCCTCCTGACCCTGGCTACTATGAAACTACAAAGCACTGTTCTGCCATTAGAAAAGGTTGCCAACCCCTGCTTTAAGCAGTAAAAGTTTCCCCGATTGAAAACAGAATTATAGATATGCTAGCAAGGGAGACACTAGTGACTAACTCTGTAGCACACATACTCAAACAAAAAAAAGCAAAGTTGATCTGAGAATTGTAGCTCTTAACTCCAGATAAACATATTACTCTTCCTCTAGCTAGGAGGGAAAATAATAATTTCACATGAGGAAACCTGCTTGTACTGAAAGACGATCACTGCAGAGATGCATAAGCCAAAAAACTCCAGGGAGCTGGTTTGGAGGCTAGACAAATCCTGCCGTGGAAGAACAGAATGCCAGTCAAGTGCTGGGGCTGAGTCCAAACATAACTGTAGTACATACTGTTACCAGGCACTTTAAGGCAATGATGAGAGAGCAAGGGAACTGGATCATTACAAATGTGAGAGACAGAAAGGGGTTCTCAAAGAAGAGCAGGCAAAAAGAGAGGGGGAAAAGGAAGAAAAGAAATTTGTGCAAAACCTCCTGCTTTTCTAATACAGTGATGCTTTGGTGTTCACTGTTCTTTACAGCAGATTAGGAACTCAAGAACCTTACAATAATCTGTGCTGATGTTCATAGGATGACTAAAAGTCACTCTCCAGACAGATTCTCCTCAAGCTAACTTTCTAATTTGTGATTTATATTTTCTAAGGCAAGTAGAGAAACAGTCTGCACAAAGCAGAGACCCTATTGCATTTCCCTTACTGAATCTGTCATTGTATTTGTTCTTTTAGTTCTACTGATAATATTTAAGACTACACATACACAAAAAGTTCATTTGGTTGATAATTCTCCCTATCCTGTTCCAAAAGTGACAGTTACATGCATTTAAAAACTCCTGAAGAATCACAAATCACAGGCTGCTTGGAGCTTGCATTCCAAGTAATATCTTTGCCGCCACTCACTGCATACTAACACCAACTTCCAGGATTACTCAGTGGAACAATGGACTAACTGCTTGTACAAACCTGCCGTCTATGGGAATCAAACTAATTGCCAGCTAATTTCCCAGTCAAATATGAAGTAAACATGTCAGATGCCTGGGATTTTGAATTTTTTGACCAAGCACATGATAACAAAGGGGGGAAAAAACAAAAACAAAAACCAGAGGACTAATGGAAGTGTAGAGATCAGCAGTTCTAGAAGAATGAGTCTTAGATTATATTCAGTTTTTATCAGATCCATCCTGGCTAATGGGCACAGTATATTGTGTACCCGACCTTTGCTCAAAGATATAGAAAAGCCATCAATACTTCCTGGAAGATTTTAAGAATGTTCTTCTTATAGAAACAATTCCATTTGTTGGTGATAATGACAAGGAACAACTTCACGTGATGGATTTGCAGAGGCCAATGAAACCATTAAAAGAAACAAGATTTTCATTCAATTCTCGCTAGTAATAAAAATGCAAGGAAATGAAGCGTGTTCCATCTGCTGTGAAATATAAAGCCACTTCCTTGTCATTGTTTCTAAAAAAGAACTTTTTTCAAGGCTATCCCAGGGAGGAGACTACATTTTTAATTGGAAAGGTATTCAAAATATAGTTAAAGTCAGTGGTCCCAGACCCCATCTTTAGCCAGTGGTCAAACTGACAAAATGCTGCACTCCATCAACTAACAAAAGAGAGCAGAGGAATCTGTTAGTTTAGTATCTGCCTTGCTTGCATAGAGGTTTCTGATTCAAGGATTGAGCAGCAAGCTTTACCAAACACATCCACATTCTAAGACTTTCCTTCAACAGTGTTAGACAAGAGCTCCCAGCCATGGGAGGCAGGAAGCAACAAAGAAGAGTCCTTAAAAAACAAAAACAAAAAACAACTTTGTCAGATGATCGTAAGAGTTTCAAAGTCCTCACATCCGTCTGACGGCATGCGTCTCTCTCCTCCAAACCAGTGTTTGTTCAGTGCTCCCTGCAGACTGGACCTGGAACAGGTGGATGAGTCTCACCTCTGACCTGCTGGATTCCTGTTTGCCTCCACATTTAGGGCCAAATTATGTAGGAAGAGAAGTATCTGCCACCACACTTGATTTCTGTTCTGCTGATGCTGTAAAGACAATGGTTGAAATGAGGTTATTTATATTTTTTAAATTGCAACACACTACTTCTCTTTTCCAACAACTCTGTTACATTTTTCAAGAGCAGACACTTTAATCCCATCAGCACAACAAGGGGTGGGGAGAATAAGTTCTCCTGAAATAATTGTAGCTCTAACATTACAAAAAGAAAAGAGCAGATCCTTTATGCATTGTACACAAGAGGATTAAACTTTTTTTTTTTTGCTTTCAGGACTTTGCAGAGTTTAGCCAAATGCTGTTTTTAATCAGATTGGCTTCTGAGCCTCTCAAAAGCCCCAGCTGCATGAACAAACAACTTTCTTAAAAAAAAAGAAAAGAAAGCTCCCCCCCCTTCACCCCAAAAGTAGGGAAAAATATAACTGGTGATCCATCTGTAAGTGATTTGACACCATGAAGGTCAAAGGGTTAATCTTCAATTTAAACCACACTGCTGAGACAGCAAAACTCTGATTCCATCTAGTACAAGAAAACACACTCGCGCGCACACACACTCCCCCCATTCCCTCCCCCACTACATTTTCCTTCCCAGCATCTCCAAGATAATACTGCCCTTTTTATAGCTACTTTTGACAGTAAGCCATAAATAATCAGCCTTGGAGCCCTTTCCTACTGACTGGAGCCAATTAAACTTTAAGCAAGAACATACTTGAAAACAAAAAACCCAAAACCAAGAGGTTATTTCAGGTCCCATTGTCAGGCAAGAAATTTGGGAGTTGAATTTCAGGGGGACACCAGACCACATAATACTGCTTTTGGGAAGGAGCACTGTTGCCTCTTTTGTTATATGTAATCACCTCTGTGAAAGTGGTTCCCATTATACCCCCACCTTCATGTATTTTAATAGCATCCCATACAAACAGGTGGGTTTCTCTTTACACTGCACAGACTGGGATACTGTTTCACATCACAAACCAACCCTTAATTATAAGACCAGCATTCGCTTATTCATCCAGAATTCTCTATTTGTTAAGTGGAGCTGCTGACCTCAAAAAAGAGTCCTCGGCAAACAGCAGAGTGGAAGACTGGCTTACAGTGACTTTGCCTCAGCACATAGAACAGCATGATAGGGCACTGAAGCACGTTATATGAACAAGATGTTTCAAGTTAGATTAGTCCAGCAGGGAAGAACCACATGATTGCAAGGCATTCTTTACATAATCATGAACTGAAGAGAGCCTTAATTGTACTTCATATACTGGAGTTGTTTCAAGAGAAATCTTTAACACATTACCATAAACTCATTAAATTGTGCTTATAGCTTCAGGATAGCTACAGTTGTATAAAAAGGCGCAATCTGAATCACAAATGCACTCAGAACAGGCTTTGAAAGGGTATTTCCTATATTCACACCATAGCAACAGTCCATTTGTATTTTATTCTTATCTCCAGATTTAGAAGGGTTTACACAGCCCTAATTACAACGTTTCAATGTCAATGTGTTCAATGCAAAATCCACAAGCAGTGATTGTGGAGTCTGCCATTACTGGGATCAATCCCCACAAACAGCCTCTCTATTGGCAGTGTTACACTTACAGGCAAAACCAACCCTCTCCACTAGCTCTTCACAATACTATTGTCAGGGTTGTGTTAAGTGTCACTGGACCTCCAAATTGCTCTTAAAAAGACAGATTTCTCTCTCTCTCTCTCTCTCTCTCTCTCTCTCTCTCTTTTTAAAAAAAAACCCTTCCTCTTTGTTAGACTTTGGAAATTTTACTCATTCTTTTCTTTCCCTTCCCTTCCTCTGCTCTAACATGCATGTTCACCCACAGTGCCCTAAGAATATCTAGAAAAATGCCCAAATACTTGTTAAATAAAGGAAGTTTCTGGTAACAAAATGGGGAGAATTTGAAGGTACAGAAGCTCCAAACTACATCATTAGTGTTCAGCCTAAAAGAGCAAGAATGGGCACAAACACTCTACGACAGTCCCAAGATAACACAAGCACGTGTGAAACCAGATTATTTCATCCTCTTGGTAACCTAACACACTCTTCTTTAAGCAATCTGGTAGGGAAAATTTAAAAGTTGGTTTAAATAACCGGTACCCAAACCTGAAATACAATATGTAGCAGTGAACTGGTGGCCCTTCTTTCCTCATCTGCTCAAGCTGCATTTTAAAAAGTGCTTATTTCAGTGCATGTGTGTGGGAGGAAATGCATTTGTCTGAAGTGCATGCAATTCAGTCCTCTACAGAGGCAAAACCAGAATGCCTATACTACTGCCTTATTTCAGGTAAGAGGATTCTGATTTTCTTGTGCAACAAGGAAGAGATTTCTAAAAGTCAGTTTGTCTTATGAGGCTTACAAGGTGAACTTAAAAAACAAAGCAGGAGGAGAGAAGAGAGTGCTTGTCACTTTGCCAGGTCTGTAGCTATTTCCTCCTCTGCAAAAAGTAGTAGCTTTTAAAAAAAAAAATATGCTCCAGGAATTCAGGCTGTTTCTACCCTGGAAGACTCACTGGTTGGCTGAAGAACTAGCAGGATCTGATATCACAAGTATCAAGGAAGAAAACTCTGATTGAGATAGAAAGCAAGTTTTATCTAGCTTCTTATGTGTTTATTTCCTTGGTCTATTTCAGTGGTTCTTAACCTTTTTAGATTCAAGGTACTCCTTGTTAGACTCTATGCATGCCTTGGAAAATGGCAGCTCCTAGTTTTCACTTATTTTCTGACTACAAAAAAAAACAATAGAGCAATTTTTCTGTTGCACAGAACTCAGAAAGACTTTAATAGGTCAGAATTTTTGTAACACTATTAATTTCTATGCAAAATTTCTGGGTTTAGCTTGTGAATCATGTTTGTACAACTAATAGTGTTAAACCTGAGTAGCACCCTGGTTGAGAATTACTGTCTATTTCATTCTGACACCTATGGTAAAAAGCCCTCTTTGTCAATTGGAAGCCCTGACATTTTCAGTGAAGAAGGGTCAGAAATATGTATCCAAGATCCTGTAAGATTTCCAGGAAACCTCAGAAAAATTGGACTAGGTAGCATGTGGGGGAAAACACCATATTTCCCTTCCCTCCTCTCCTCTCTAACAAATCGTTCTTATGCTTTTTATATATAAAGCAGTAAAAAAGGCTAAGTACTTAGTTTTAGTTTTCACAATCCCCTTCTTTTTTAATTGGACAGTATCTTTAAAATCTCTACAAGCCACCTGATTTTTCAATCTCTAATAAAATAATACCACCATCACCCACTCCCTTCTAATAATTGCTCTCAAAATGCTGTACAAGAGCGGTCAGTACCACAGCTTGAGAAAAAAAGGCAGAGAGAGGTAACATTTTTTAAGTAAATTGAGGGTGGCCACTCAGTAGGCCAACGGCAGAGCTGGGAAGGTTGCTAGAATATCATTCCACTGTCCCACTCACTGGGTTATACTGCCTCTATTTTCCTCTGCTCAGGTTTAGTCAGATTCAAAAGCACCACTTCTTCACTCTAACAGGATGCTTTGTTTTCAGCCATACGAATTCAATGAGAGACAAGGGACATGGGGAAAAAATAGCAGGCACTTTTTACCACTATAGACAGAAAAGCCACTTCAGAGGAAGAATTGACCCACACCTAAACAGGGCCTTTTTGGAATTTTCAGTAAGTATGAGTAACTTTTCTGTGGACATGCTTTTGCCAGGACGGAGCACAAAAAACTCAAATATCTCAAGGAAAGATTTTTTCCATGGTATTGCTTGCCTGCCAGGAAGGACCAGAAATCTCAGGAGAGCCAGTTCATGAGTTATGCAGTGTGACTGCTGACAAGCGGGTTCAGTCAAGTTACACAACCTTCTGCAATTCACCTAGCACTATGTCTGGTGCAGACCGATATTCTTCCTAAGGTTAACTATCCTGCAATATGTCTGATAAGAGCATTCATTAACTTTACTGTCAGAGAAAAACATTATGAAAATAGTTTGCTACTGATTCTAGAAGTGAAGGAGCCTGCCTAAGCCCAAGCCCAAGCTGTGAGTAAAGCAGACTACAGTTGTAAAATGCCATAAGCCAACAGGTGACGCAAAAAGCTTAAAGCACATAAAATGGTTTCCTATTCCAGCTGCAGTCTTTTAAAGGAGGATATCCTTCAGAGATTGTCTGTCCAAGATGGTTTCACATATGTTTCAGTGAGTCACAAGAACAGTCATTTTACAGGAAAATATCCAGTACAACAGGAAACACACCCTGTTTCTTGAACTGTCCTGGTATCCACCATGATATGGGTATATAAACATGTTAACAAGCAACATATGAGTGGTAATACATGGAAGTGGACCAGGGACAAAAATTAGGCATGTGTTTTCAATAATTCAGTATTCCTTCACAGCGTTGGACAGTGTGCACAATAAAAGGTATGAATATCTCTGTCAATAGCCAGCCTCATAGTTCTCCCACTTGTCAAAGCACTTTTATTCACACTCCACCCTTGGACACAGCACCATCATGAGATGTCAGTGGATGTGAGACATAGTACCTAAGAGGTTTTTCCTTTTCATTCAGCTCCTTATATCAAAAGTAACAGTTGACTGGTTGTTAAGGAAGTTTGTTTTCCTTCTGCTGAAGAAGTGCAGTGGATTTCTTCCTTACAAAATAAATTGCATGATTATCAATACACACTTTGACATAAAGTTTGTGTAAGTGTATATACAAATCACACATGCATCCTGTACTGCTGGTGGTTCCTTATTACAAAATAACAGACCTATATTCATATTATGGCTGTCAGCAGCTCTTGGCTTTACTACATCTCTTCCTACATAGTAGTTTGAAGGATCAAATACTGGTCTCAACCATAGTAAGCAGAACCATGATTTGTCCAAAAGTGACAACAGTATAGCATAAGAGGAATTCTTGTGGATATGTATGTAAGTCTTAGTCTTCCTTTGATGACTAATACAAGTGTTGCCAATATTACCTTTTCTTTTTTCTCCCCCAAAACAAGTAATACTTGCAACCTAGAAGTCACTGACTCATTGTTGCAAGC